AAGCTCTGCATTAGCAGCTCTATAAAAGTCTGTATAACTTTTGCTATTTCAGGATCAGAGTCCAGAATCTGTTGCATAAGACTTGGTTAATTTCTCTGGCATTAACTAAAAGTCGATCAATATTTATTCATGGTMTTTGCGAAACTTTAGAAGTCAGTGCAGCTGATGTCTGATATGTAACCTCAATTTTGTTTGTTCTTTTGATCAACCCACACACACACACACACACCTCCTGCAAAATATAGCTTGCCTAAAATTAAATACGGGCTACACCAAGCTCGTTGTAGCTGCTGGATCTTCATTTTCCCACTTCGTAATTGGTTAAGTTGATACAGGCATGGCTGATTGCCAATTACAATGGTCGATATCGTCTGATTAAAATGTATCACCCTAATAATTGGTCCGTAGCATTATCATTACTCATCATTTAATCACCAACATAAATCAAAATGGCTAAATTTAGTGTGCTTTATGAAATAACATGCACATCATTACATTATAATTTGCCCTATTGCAAAGCAATGCCAATGAAGTTGGTTTTATAGGTATTCCCAAAGTTGCCTGAAAATGATTGCTGCTGCTGATTTCTGCACTTTAGATCATTCTCTGGTGTTTTATCTTATATTTGGTCTGWGAAAAGATATGTGCCTCTATAGAGCAGTGGGGCTGAACAGGTCTTTTATGAAAGGGAGACTTTTTTAAAATTTATATATCCATATCCCGATCTTGTTTWAAAAAATGATAAATTGGCCAATAGTGGTGCCAGGAAAGGAGCATTTAGTCTTTGTGGATTTATTTCTCAGAGTGGAGGAGAAATGACGAAGCCTGCTTGCAGGGTGGTGCTGACCTTTTGCAGGAAGACATCTATATCATTTCTGTGCCTGTGCTGAAGCTGAAAAGGCTGAAGTTAATTTCTTCAGTGTGCGATCATTCTGCTGTTGGGAAGCATTGCATAATCACTATGAATTTGAAATGATGGAAAGCACAGCAAAATGCATGATTTTAGAGAAACCAAAGATGGATTACCAAAAGTGTTCATGTAAAAAAAAAAAAAGATGAAAGGCAGCAAGAGCACTGCCAACCTTTTTCCACATTTATGGTCAAACGTATTAAAAGGTTGATTAATTCCTGGTATTTGCTGTTTTTGCTGGAGTTTTTGTGGTTGTTACACATCTGGGTCAGAAATGGACATAAATGTGTTTGTTTCCGCAGCTGAACAGYGTGCGAATAAAAGAGCAGTCAGGTTCTGTTTTACTGCTCTGCTTTTTGCCAAGTGAAGCTGCTGAGCTCCATCAACCTGTTGTGTTACTCTGTGGGAGTCGGCCAGAGACGGGTCATCTTTTCATACACACCCCCCACCCTCTTTTCRCCCTTTTTGCACTGCTGGCAATCATTTTATCCCTCTGTCCTGGTCCTGTTTTCACACTCTATTTCTTATCCAAGAATCAGTCTTGCTCCAGTCAGAACTGCAGTGTCAGGTGCTTACAGTATGTGCCATATGAATAAGTGTTTTAGTTGCTAAGCAACTGGCAAGCAAAGGATTTCATTATAAGAGTAAATCTCTCTCRCTGTGTTATGCAGTTGTCTGGCCTGTGAGATGTGGCAGGTTGTGTTGGAGGACCCCCTCCCCTCCCCCCCACCAGTCTGTCATTACCAGAACCAAACATCAAGCATTTTGTGCATTGTTCACTGAAAAGAGTTGATAATCTCTTTCCTTCTTTACTGGGTTTTCAGATTGTTTGCTTCCTCCTCTGTGAGGCGTTCACTGCCCACTATGTCCTGTTCTCTTGTGCCCTGACAGCTCCTGGGTCTGAAACTGGCTCTCCATCTCTGAGCCGTGTCCCCCAGTCTAATGGTAATCAATGAAACCCATTATTTGTAGTTGTGATAAATCACTGCTATTATAGAACTAGGAAGAGGAAAGAAACAGCGTTCAGTGTAAACGGCACAGTACTCTCAGTCGGAGGGAAAGGAGTTGCAGGTTCTGTCACGTCAACTTTCTTGGAAGGACTGTTTTTATTGTTTGTTCCTAGAAGAACCGGTA